CTATTAGGTAAGATCCCGTTTGTCGCGGCCTTCGATATTGGCAGAGACGCGCAGAAATTTCAACTGGAGCTTAATTTAATATATTTTTGTATATCAAATTATCGATATATCGAATTATTTTACGATCCCCTTTGAGTTCGATATATCCGGGTTCGACTGTATGGATTTCTCGCTTTCTTCCGATACGGCGTCATCATCTGTCCTTACATTGCCAAAACCAAGCGAATCCAAAAAATGTCTCCATCACATTTGATTGGGGATTTTGTTCTAACTGTGCGGACTAAACATGTTTTAGAGCACGGATCAAAATATGCCATTGCACCTAAGCTTGAAGCCGTTGACCAAGTAGCGCTCGTAAGGAACATAGCTGCCAAAGCAGCACTTGAAAGAAGCCCACAGGTCATTGAGCAAGGGATTCAGGTTTTCGCGAACCTTAAACATCAAGCTTTCCCACGTCTGAGCTTTGAACCTACCATACAAGAGCGGAGAAGCAAGGACCTTAATCTTTGCCTTTCCGATAAGGGAGGAGGTTTTGTAGTTCTTGACTCAGGGGCTTTTGGAGAAAAACCCTTCGAGCCACAAACAAGAAGTTCGTTCCGGTTGAAGTCAATAGAACAACAGCAACAAAAAGAGCCATACTCACGACATTACAAAGTAACCATTATGGTGGGTTCTGCTGCAAGATCAAGGCAGCCAAGATTGACCAGTTAGTGGTGTTCTTCTCAGCCAAAACTCAGAAAGAGGGAAGTCCGTTCCGGGCAATAATTTCGGAGAGAAACACGTGGGAAGCTTGCGCGTCTAAATTTCTTTCCAAAAAAATCTCCCTCGTTTGATCAAAGACCCTTTCCGGATTTCCCATTCTGAAAATGTGATATCTTTTCATAAAGAAAAAAGGAACATCATCGTGTCTGGGTTTTGCAAGGACGTTCAAGACATGTTCTACTCCATCCCGCATGCACGTCTACTACAAGTTCTTCGGTCAATCATAGAAGACCAAGGCCTCACATCATTCCAGAATACGGCAGGGATTCAAGTGGATACCTTCTTAGAACTGTCGCGCTATTACCTATCAGCCACGGTGGTGGCCTACGAAGATCGCCGCTATGTACAGAGAAATCGCGTATGCATAGGACCCCAGGTGGCCCCACATCAGTGTGAAGTTTTTCCTCTGAGCGTGTTGGCGTGCCATCCAAGAAAGTATTAAGAATTTGAGAATCCCGGCGATATTTTTGTATGTAGATGATTTCCTCATTTTATGCACTACAGAAGTTGACGATCATATCGACGGGTGCCTCAACAACATCCTGAGGAGTTTTCAGCAGTCATGCATGGAGCTCACCTTCACGCATGAACTTCCAGTCAGGAAGACCATCAAGTTTCTTGATTTGGTTTTGGAGTTCAGAGCAGGTCATGTTTGCTGAAGATACCAAGCCCGTTCAGGCAAAGGGTTTCTCCCCTTCTTGTCGCAGCATTCAAAACTGTTAAGCAGACAGTAGCTGTCAAAGTTCTGTTTTCTAGCCTGAACAGATCATGTAAGCATCAGATTTCCGGAAGCTTTGAGTTACATATATCCAGACTCGAGGACGCGGGCTACCCTCGACAAGTAGTTGACTCCGTGTGCGAAAGAATTGGCCGCACCATCAAGACGACACGCGAACGCAACGACCCTTCCACAGAGCAAAAGAAGACAAGAAGACCGTTTGTGGTTGTGTCATATATTAATGGGATTACACATAGTTTAAAAAAGATGGAAAATTGGCAAGAGGTACAATTGCTGTGCTCGGCACCAAATAAAGCCCATTCGCCGTGCCGCATGGCCAATCGGGGCCAAACCAGCAACAGCATTACTCACAGGACCGTTTATGCCCAGTGCGACAAGGAGGTTATATACCACATACCCTGACATGCAGCCGCTGTTACATCATACAGACCGGGCGGTGTATAAACGATAGGACTCGGGAACATTCCGATAGTTTAAAGAACTTGACGGCAGCAGGTGACTTAGCCCTGCATTGCCGTGACTGCAAGTGCAAGGCAAACTTAGACAAAGTTACCATCATGGGGCACCATCAAAACCGGTTCGCACGTGAGGTGTTGGAAGCTTTAAACGTAAAAGAGAAAGGGGACATACATGTTAGTTCACCGTTTGTGACTTTAACCAGAGAAGAGAAGACGTTCTTGCGAGGTGGAGGTATCGCCCATAAGTAGAAAGACGAACAGGATGCCCTAGTTTAAAAATGAGGAAAAAAAAGGAAGAAGTGACGCGAGCTAGGTTTTGATCCAGTGGTTTTGATTGATCCTAGCCTGTCGATGGTTTCATGAAATGTAAACTTTGTATATGAAAATGTAAATTTAGATTATAATAATAAATGTAAATGTTAAATTAAATGTAGTCCAGCGGTTGAATACGTCTCTCTCGTTCTCCTCACATTCGTTTGGTTGGTTTGTTCAGCTGGTGTCTCCTAAATATGTGTAACCAACATGCTCAACTCTTTCCCGTGGTATAGTATCGAACCTATTATTCTTATAAATAATGATTAATCATTATAAAATTACGTAACATGGTTTTACCTCCCCCTTAATGATTTGCTTTTAAACATATTCGACTTCATGAAATTATTTTGTTTTGTATTTATATGCAATCATAGGCTTAAAAGCTATTTTAGCTGCAGTGACCTGGGGTTCGTCATGGGTCTCATATTAATACTTCAACCCTACATTTTATGTTTTACTATTTTGCGCTAATATAAATTTTCTACTATTTATGACACTAATGAGAACAAGCAAAGTGCATCAGAAAAATTACAGAATTCTTACATGGGGCCAGGTAAATTTAGGAATTTAACACATGCTACTTCGTGTAGATAAGATACAGCTTGTATTAAAAACAACACCAATGCATTAGAATGTAATAAACAGAATGCATTTATTGTACAGTCGAATATAAATACACAACAATAGAAGAATATCTTTCGGGAAGAACGATTTGCTCGTCGACAGAAATATTCTCTTTCGTGCTATCCCATTCAACTTCCCAAACTGCTTTTTGGGAGGTGCGTGATTTCTTCGACCAGTTTCCCACTCGTGAATCTAGCAGCCATGCTGAAGCAGAACGAGGTAAACCAGCGTTTGGTGTTTTTGCATCTTGACTAGAACCATGTATAGAAATATCACAGCAAAAAGCCAAGTGAATTTTTCCGCAATTCAAAGGCGTTCTCAGGACAACGTTTTGTGCAGTAGAATAGCATATCTTGCTCAATGTGGTTGCGAACCCCATCGTGAAATAATAACTTACAAAAGTGGTACGGTGCGCATCCTGCTGCAACATATTGACTGGAAGGTTTGTCGATCCAGTGGGCCTGATCTCTTCCGAGGTGTGATATATATATTAATTTATATCTTTTTCTTTGAATTCTGATATACATAAACGTAGCTTAGTCGCCATTGGGTGCCTCTGCTTGTAATTGAGCTTCTCTTAGAACACTTGTTTCCGATTGAAAAGTTTATAGCCAGGTTTTTCATGTAAAATGTCCGCATGAAATAACATTCAATATGTGAGACCAAACCCTTTTCTTACATTCCTCATCGTTATCAGACAGAGAGCGGCCTTGCTCTTTCGGGACACACGGCTTGGGTTTCATAGAATGCCTCGGAACCTTTGGCGGTAACCATATGAAAGATAAATTATATTATAAAGAGGGACATGCGCTTTAGTCAATGCATTAAAAAAAGGAGAAACAAATGAAACAGACATTTACCATCTGTCGCGCTTGTCAGCATACTCAGGTTCTGCTCCATAACCCGAGCAATACACTGTTTAAAGGCTTGCAATCACCAGAGACAGCACAAACCAATTCGGGTCTGTGGAAACCAAGAAAAGCACGCGTCCTCGATGCGAACGCTGGAAGTGACAACTGCCAGAAGATCTTGTCAAACGAAGTACTTCACCTGCATGACGTTGCACTTGTGCTACGTACCAAAATTCAACAGTATGAGTGTAACTACAGGTCCGATATTTTCAGATCTTCATTGACATAGTTCGATAGATGTGTGTATTCATTTAAAAAATACTAATTAAAAGAATCATGCGAATAAGGAGTTATTATATAACATCAACTTAAAAACAACCTTACTTGTATAACTGCGCTCAGACAAAAATCTTGGTCTCTATCTTTGACTGATCAACAATAAATAGCAGACGTGGCACCGCATCGTTTTAGAGTATTTACGAATATTGTTATAACCCTTTGTTTTAAAGGGAGTCACCTGATTTGACATACAGAAATGTTTTCTTTTTCGTATGTAGCACTCGTGCTACATTATAAGTAAAGGATTAACTTAATGCCGACCCTTTACAGATTTCCGAATACGCATAACTCACATTTTCTGCTTTTGTCAGATCATTAAATGGTTAACTTACGTGCCAAGGTAGTTTTTTGCTAGCAGTGACCGTATTTGGAACTTATTTTTTTACATAACACATACTCGTCCTCTTCGTGAAGCACGCCCTCCCCAAAAGGATGCACGTAGCAGGTTCTGCGGAATACTTCTTCCTGGAGCACCTGCTACGTGCGACAGAGCTCCTAGGGAGCTGAACAAGTTAGGAACCTGACTTATGCCGCTTTCAATGAACTCTTTGTGCGGCACATGCAGGCGCCATTCGGCGCCCATGGGACATCGGCCTTGTGTGTATTCACGAAAGAATACTAATGAATGATGTTAGAACACATCTCTACCTCCCGAATTCTTTTTTTTTTTTTGCTTAAATAAATGTTTGGCAGGAAAATGGCAAGTCCCTTTCGCCCTTGACCCACGGTGTGCACCGCCTGAACGAGTAGACACTTCCTTGCAAGACGGCGCGCGTACCGCCTCGTACCGCCAGGCGCGGGCGGCCGTCCCTTCGCGCGACGACATGAGCCAGCTGCTCCTGCCACCGCCCACGCTCGCGGTGAGCTCCGCAGCCCGTGCGGTGCGACAGTGCGTGCTCGGACAGGCCACGATGCTCGCGCTCATGGTCTGGAGCCTGGCCGCTGTCCTGGGCGCCCCTTCGAACGCTTTGCAGGACCGGTGAGTAGCCCAGCATGGATATACCCCTTTGCCTCGAACCTACCTGATCGAGAAGAATCGCTGCTTCGGTCGCAATGGTTCGCGAACCAAGTCCACGTTCCAAAAATTCCCCCCCCCCCCCCCCCCCCAAAGAAAAAAAAAGAACACTTGTTTTTTAGAGGTTTCAGCTAGTCTACCTGCCAATGCTGGTTGTCATGAAGCAGGAGCGCGTTTACTGTCGGCAAGTCCGCCATGGATACTTCCCTATGCCCTGGGGCCCTTCAGGAAGCATGCACCATTGCTCGGGTCCCAATCTTTTGCGGAGAAAATCTACGGTTTGAGCTGTCCCAAAGAGTAACAGCCCATTTACAGCAGGTTAAAGTTAGGACTCTTCTTAATGCCGGTTGCCGCGGTGCAGGCGCGTCTCTTACTGACTGAAGCCATGGGAGGGATTTTCTGCCATGCTAAAAGCTCCTCTATACAGGGCATGAATTTTGTCGTGCGCGACAATAATGATAACCGCTCCCCATAGCAGCGTATGTAAAGTGGATAAGGGGCCAAGAAGATCCTGGGGGCAGCTGTGATTGCCCTGCCACGGGGCGAAAAGTCGTATCCTTTTAAAGTCCAAGGAAGTAGTGTGTTTTATGGTCAACACTTCACGTCACAAAACATATCTTTGTAAAATTTCCTAAAAAGAAAAAAAAAAATTAAAGACGTTTCCAATTTCCTGTAACGCCGATTTAGAGCGCAGCTCTTGAGGAGGAGGGGGCATGCCTTCCCTCCTTATCCGTACCATCTTCTCCTCCCGCCCTCCTTTCACGCGCGAAACGCGCATCCTCACGCGACGTTTCGGCGCGGTGCATTGTGTGACGTTTCCCATAATACAACGCGCGGTTACGCCGACGCCGACGCCGACGCCGACGCCGCTCGAACCGGAAATGGGCGCCTAAGAGCTGCGCTCTAGAAAGTGGTAGACGAGAGTAAAGCATTATTTCTGCGAACTCACGGAACAAAAATTAGTCACAACTCAAACGCCCCTTCGGCGCTTGTTTGTTTCCTTCTATCTTTTGTCTATGGAGGCAGCTCAGCTTGATGAAAATATAAGGGCTGACGTTATAACGTGACTTTAATTAAGAAAGCTCGTGTGAACCCCTAGGGGAAAGTACATTTATTGTGTTGCCGTGTTTTTGCATGCTATTGTGCACCGGTGGTTGCCTGTGCCCGAAGGGGAATATTTTTCCCGATTCTAGAACACAAAATTTTATTCCTAACGGAATTTTGCTAAATCAATGTTGGACAATCTGTTACTTATAATCAAATTGCAAGGTCTTATTCCGTTCTTGATATTGTTTTTTTACTGAGCAGCGGCAGACGGAATACGCTTTTTTTTTTATTACGGAGTGTGACTTTGGGTGCATCTTTAGATAGATATTTTAGACAGAAGTCACACCTTTTTTATACCACTTCATTGTAAACTAGAGTGCATCTGGCAAAAGTCATTTTTTTATTTTGTACATATTTGATTTTTCATAGCTTTTCGCATGGTTCCCATTATTTATTAGCGATTTTCCAAATAAAAATTAAAAAATTCAATTGATTGACTCTAACAGCGTCATTATCATTAACGATCACGCTTACAATAGAGGGAAGACGATACAACAACTAAATTCATAACTCGACAATTAGTATCAGAAAATCAGGAGACTGATGTTAGATTATTTTTACCTTACAAAAGGGCTGTGCGTTTTCTCAATATAGACATAAAATTCAGTATATCATTCTCATGGTTAAGACATTTATATTAACAACAGCAAAGCACCTATTGTCTTTCGTATTGCTTGGTTTGTGTACACCCCCAAGCTAAATTAATTCGTTTGCAATATTTTGTTGATAAAAAGATGTTAGTTTAGAGAACCCTAAAACGCATTTCTTGGTGGCTAGTTAAAAATGTTACCGGAGATAAAGACGTTACCAGATACATTCCTTTACTCGTGGCAGCGTCATGTATTGAACAATAAACTGCACTTCATTTCACAGTTGTTATAAAAACAGATAAAACGTTTGGTGCATAAAACGTAAAAAGAATTTCAAATAGAGCATTTAAAAAAATGTTTCATAAAGCTATTGCATTTATTTTAACATCGTGGAAACTTGAGACTGTTGAACGAAGAAGTGGACGACACCCACAAAGGATTGCGTTTCGCCGTTACTTTTTTCTTCGAGTTCGTGTTTCTAGAGCGTAGGAAGTAGACACAATCTCCTCTATTTTTCTTGTTATGTATGAATTTATTTGCTTATCGGCTAATTAAATAATTCACACTGTCAGTCATTCAAAGAATAGCAGCATTATCCAGCATTCCAAGAGGAAAATTTTATAACATATCATAATTAAAGAGGCAGTCTTATTTTAATTAGTTAATATAAGATACAGTAAAATCTACATTGTTTTTTATGCTTTATGGATTTGTTTTAAAGAATACGAAAAAAAAACTACACTAAATTTGTTTGTGCAGGTGTGCTATACGGCCAGGGGGACATATCATAGGCGCCAATCATCTCGATAAGTCAGATATTTAACCAATATGTGTTAATTAACGCTTTAACTAGTGAAAAGAAACAGTGTTTCAATTGGAAACTTGCAGAGTGCTATCAAAAACCACTAAATAAATAAACTTGAGAAAGGTTTGGTGCACGTGGGAAGCGTATGGCGGCGTAGTTACCACTCGTACAACGGGCACAGTGCTGCGATGCCGCGGATAATACGAGGCGGAAGAACCGCGCGCGCCGGTTTTTACGTCGCGCAATCCATTCGTGCAACAGGTTTGCGCCCGTTGCACAAATTAAACTAGAGTTAATTAACCTACTTATTATAACGATTATTTCCTCATACCATGTCCCCCTGGCCGCATAACTCACCTACACAAACCGCCTTAGCCCAGCTTTTACGCCTTTCTTAAAACAAATTTTTAAACCTTAGGAACACTTTGTTTACTGTGATTATCCCTCTGCGATATAATCAAGGACGGAACGAAATGAATGCCTCCAAGTTTGTTTCTTAGAGTTTATAACGCATTGAATTATCACAACAACAGAAATTGATCTGTCAATTTTCACAAATATCTGTTGTTTTTTCCTTCTAAATTTCACGGTTATTTTTGTTTTATATAACGTAGATATATGTCTAAGGACTTGATTTCATGCGAAAGCGTTGCACTTGATCCTAACAAAACCGTTAAACACAGGTCAAGACAACATAAGTCACCCAATAGCACAAAGGGATTCGTCAGAGTTCTAAGCGAACTAGTAGTTTTGCTAGATACCTTTTCGACAGATATATATAAAGAAGATGTCGCGAAGGTGTCAAGTTCGAACACTGAAATCCATGCCGAACTCGTTGGTATACAAGAATCGATCACATTCCTGAACGCGGATGTTGAGCAAGTCAAGAAGGATGTTGTGGGCTTCCGCCAAAAGCTAACGGAAGTAAAAAAAAGCGAAGTTCTCGGCTACTCCAGGAAAACCAAAAGCTCGGCAAGGAGCTCAGTGAAGCAAAAAAAAAAAAAAAAAAAGAAATAGTAGAACTGAAACCATACAGTAGGAACATGAATGTCGAAATCAAAGGGCTTCCAGTTGTTGCAGATGAGGACCTGACAGCGTCTATGAGGGCAATTGCTACATGTCTTGGAACCGAGACATCTGAGAGTGACATCGACGTTGTACATTGGGTACATTCGAGGGACAAAAAGAAACCCAATGTTGTGGTAAAGTTCGCCTCTCGTGGGGTGCGTGACAGGCTGCTATCAGCGGCTAAGAAGACGAGGTTAAACACCACCCACCTTGGATTTTAGGCTAATGATCCACTTTAGATAAATGAACATTTTTGTGTCAAAAAAAGGTATTACTAAACAAAGCTTGTCAGGCAAAGCGAAAGAAAAACTGGAATTATGTTTGGGTGTCACAGGGCAAGGTCCTTATGCGGAAGACTGATAACTCGCCTGTCTTGCAGATCACGTGTGAGGGGGATTTGATCAGGATGGTTTAACTGTTCTGAACCTGACGCAAAGACTTGTGTTACCACGTTTATTGCGTCTTTCACTTATCAGCATGTTGAACAACTGATACAGAACGAAGATAAGCTTTTGAGTTTCCATTGCAATGTACAGTATACTCAACTGTTAAACATAACGCGGGAGCGGTGGCCGGAAAGACTGCATGCGCCACCTAGCAGCTCACTCTGGAAGCTCATGCAGCTGCTGTTTTCTGGAGTTACACTCCCAGCTCCGAAACAATCACCGATGCGTGACTCGGCAATAAAAAAACCGCTTTTTGATTTTTTTTGTTGTTTAAAGAAGGTGGTTTTTATTAGAGAAACTGCAAGATCACCGAGATATGGTAGCCCGGCATGGCAAATGCGTAGATGTGACAACAGATTGTAACAAACAACAAAACAAACAAGTAAAAAATGAAAGCGTGGGTGATAAAGAAAGGAACGAGGAGGTCGTGCGATAATTGTATCGGGGAGTGGCGACAATCCCACCAAGGGCCCTAAGCTGGACGCTTGGCGAAAACGACGGCGAGAAATCTGGAGGCCGCGATTGGTCAACGCCACACTTGACCTTGGCGCCGGCCAATCATAGCCGGCGAATTTCTCGCCGACTTTTCCGCCAAGTGTCCAGATTAGGGCCCCAAGAAGAGCCGGCTTATTCTCTGCCGCGTCATTGATTTAATCGCTAGACAGCTCTGGTATCAGCTTCGGCCACCGCTCCCGCGTTATGTTTAACAGTTGAGCACACTGTACGCAGTTCACGAAAAAAATTCTAACTCGTTAGTTGGGCATGTTTCCCAGCATGTGCCTGGTTTTGATGTAATCGCAGTAAGTGAAATTTGTTTAAAAAAATGAAACCGTTGTTATGCACGGATACAGTTTATCATCTCTTTCATGTGATACGCATACAAGAGGTGGCGGCGTCGCGTTTTTTGTAAAAGAAAATATTGTTTTCCAGGTTCTATCGCCTGCCACT